TGAGGTTAAAAAGATCGCCAGGGATATAAAGGAAGTTAAGGTCTCGCTCGGAAAACAAAGCGATCTCGCTCTTGAAAATAATGAGAGACTTAAAAAAATAGAAGAGATGGCATTGAAGCAAGAAAAAATAATAGAAAATCTACTCAGTGAGAATAAACAGCTAAAATCTCAAATTAGCAACCTGGAGGTGAGACTTAACCAAACAGAACAAGCTCAACTATCCAACTCCCTGGAAATACGAGGTATCACACCCGATGCTGGGGAATCTACCGAGGGCTTGGTGTGCTCTATCGGTGCAGCTCTGGGCATAAAGCTGGGTGTTGAAGACCTGGACTTTGTGGAGAGGAAAAGGACCAGAAGAGAGGACCCTAGACCACCTCCAATCGTCATGCAGTTTGTCCGCCGGACGGTGCGTGACGAAGTCATCCGCTTGCGCAAGGTCAAGATGGGCTTTTCCAAGCGGCATCTGGGCCGGAACACCGACGAGAGAATTTATCTGGGCGAAGAAATGAGTCCAGGTAATAAGCATTTATACTGGTTGGCTAGGCAGAAAAGGGTATCGGGTATGCTGAGATACGTATGGTTCGCTGGAGGAAAGGTACGATACAGAAGACAGGATGGATCCCCGGTCATCATCGTCAACAAAAAGGAAGACATTGAATTGCTGGAATGAAATAGGTCTCACTGTTCCCTCCAACCTCTTTTTTATGAATATCTTTTATTTTATTTCTCTTTTTTAAATATGTTATTGGTCTTTTTTGTTTCTACAGTTCATAATAATTTATTCTATTGCTTATTAAGTATTTTTTTGAAAGATGAAATTTTCTTATTTTACTTCGAATCAGATTTTAATGTTTTCTATGCTGAAACCTTCATTTAAAGATTTCAAGTAAGATCTATATCAATATAATGTACATAATTTGTTATTATATTTCATTATGTAAGTTTAAAAATGTGCCTATTCCATCAATATTAAAACCATTTTGTCACACTCCGCAGATTATCCTTACCCTGACCTCTTCATGACCAATATCTTAATATCCTGTCACGTTAACTCCCAATCCCTTCTAGCACATGACGAATCCTCGATTATTTTCACCATAACTTCCATCATATCATAGCCGTCTCAGAAACTTGGCTCAAACCTGATATTCCCTTGCCTTGCCTTGCCTTGCCTTGCCTTCCAGCTTTACTAACCCGCACTCCTACATATATATAATTTCTCTCTCCAAAATTCCATTTTTCCCAAATCCTGGAAAAGAGCCATAGTCCGTCCACTGAAAAAAGTTCCAACTCCTTCATCAGCTTCCGACTTCAGACCCATCTCCATTCTATCCAATCTATCCAAGCCTCTAGAAAGATTAGTTCACTCTCAGTTGAACAGCTTTCTCGAGCAAAACCATCTCCTCAATCCCTTACAATCTGGTTTCTGTTCCCAGTATTCCACCCAGTCTGCCTTGCTAAGGATTACACAAGACTTCCAATCCGCCATAGATAAACAGAAAATCTCCATCCTAATTCTCTTTGACTTTTCCAAGGCGTTTGATTCCGTTATTCTTGAGATCCTTCTTTCCAAACTCCAAAGCCTGCCCATGTCAAATAGCGTACTAAAATGGTTCCTATCTTTCTTATCCAATCGATCTCAGACAGTTACAATACCGAATAAACCTCCATCATCATCACTGCAATTAACGCAAGGTGTTCCTCAGGATTCCTCACTTTCCCCGACCCTTTTCTCCATCTATATTAATGACCTTCCTAACGCCCTTCAACACTCCAATTACCACCTTCCATTTCCAAATATACCAATCATTCCAACCTTCTGAGATGCCTGAGGCTGCCCGGAGGCTACAAGAGGACATCGACTGCATCAACAGATGGGCAGAAATAAATGAATTAAAGCTGAATGCAGATAAAACCAAGGCTATTATCATCGGGTCCAGACATCTCATCAGCTCCCTTCCTTACTTTCCTCTACTTTAACTTAATAATCATCCCATCCATTTTTCCCCTACAGTCAAAAACCTAGGAGTAACCTTTGACCAGAACCTCTCCTGGGATAATCATATCTCCCAGATTACCCGAAAATCCATAACTGCCCTTAAACAACTCCTAAGATTCCATGATTGTATTCCTCTAAAAACCAGACAGCTCCTTGTAACCTCCCTTGTATTCCCCCACTTCGACTTCGGCTGCTTGGTGTATGGAGGGCTATCTGCCAGGCTGGAAATGAGACTAAAAAGACTCATGAATTGTTTCATAAGATACATTTTCGGGATCCCCAGGCGTTCACATGTTTCACTATAGTACACCGAGTTGAAGTGGCTTTTTCCTACTTCCCGACGACAATTCCTTCTTGGCGTTTTCCTTTTCCAAGTCTTTAGAACCAAAAACCCTCCCTACATCCTGGAACTCATTACTCTGCGCTCCTCTATCCACTCTTTCAATACTAGGTCTCAACCTATAGACTTATATATTCCCTTCTATAAAACTTCCTCCTTCAGCAAATCCTTCGTTATTCGTGCTGCTTCCTTATGGAACTCACTTCCTACCTCTATGCATCAATCCTCATCCACAAATTCCTTCAAACAACTCCTGTTCCAACACCTACTCCACATTCAAACTTCCCCTAACATGTAAAATTACTTGCACCTATACAATGTTTAATTTCTATCCATTGCACAATTGAAATAACAATTAACAATAAATTAGTGTGTATTTTTACTATGTCAGACTAGGATACATAAATTTGTAACTCTGTCATTATTCTTAGGGGACAGTAGTCCCAGAATAAAATTATTTTTTCATTTCATTGTTTTGCGGCTTTGAACAGAAGAACATTTACATTTTTATTTTTTTTTACATTTATAAAATTATCATAAGACAGAAGTACTATGCCAGAAACCTTCCCAGGAGTGTACGGAACAACTTCCAAAAAGTTTCATGGCGATCGGTTGAATGGTTTAGTAATGCACTAAGGAAGTAATGCACAAACAGACGGACTGACAGACATACATTCATTTATATATATATATATATATATATATATATATATATATATATATATATATATATATATAGATAGATAGATAGATAGGTAAATATAAATAGAAAAGTTGAGATATTGTAAATAGAATAGTTAAATAAAAAATTGAGATATTGTGAAGTCTATCAAAATGTACTGACTACGTATAAGGGAATAAAGAGTTAAAATAAAGTAAAAAATAAATTAGCAAATGTATCAATATATTCAAAGTGGAGATGGAAATATGGAAAATAGAGTGAAAAGGATGGAGGAAGATTTTAGATTCACTGTCTTAGGTTGGAGCTGGATTAGGAGGGTTTCAGAGATGAGTCGTTTTTCATGGTTAGGGACGGAGGCAAGGATGGAAGTTTTGTCGAAATCAAATGTATGGTTTAGGGAGAGAGTATGTTCGGAAATTTAGAGGCAGTAAAATTATTACTAATAAGTTCATGATTCTTTTCATAATCACGAATAAGCAAATATGCAACCCACGAATATGAAACTCTTCTGCATTCGCTGATGATCAAAACTCATGGATATCAAACCCACGAATGTTGAGGGATTACTGTATATCAAAAATGGTGTCTTCCTACAATTTTATTATCAGATGAAAAATTATATACTTTGAAATGTAGGTAATTGTGTAACCAATGAAAATGGTGAGGAAACTATACTGGCCTTACTTGGCAGATGTTTTTTCTATTGTTATTTTTATCATGAAGTCAGTGAATTCATAAAATCATTAGTTTAATTTTTAATAATTTAACTCATAACATACATCTTTTTTCTTTTTAAATTGAAAAAATGTGGTAATTGACTGGAATTTTGTTGCAGAGGTCCATACCATAAATATTGTTTGATACATCCAGTCTTTAGAGTGATTATAGTAATGATAAGGAATACCATCAACTTTGGTTCCCTTAACTGATCTTGTATTTTAAACTTTTGCTTTTACAGATAACTTTTATTTTGGTGTCTCAATGGTGCTGGAACAGGTTAAAACTGTCAATCCTTCACTAGACTTAAGACCAGAATCTGATTTTCTTTCTAAATAGACCAGTTTCCTCAGCTTTGCATATTTGTTCTTTACACAAATTAAGCTTAATTTTTAAAATAGCAAAGTTGGTTGTTTGTTAAAGTGTTGCAGCAACAATATAACTCAGACTTTCTCCTTGCATCTTGAGCCATCATACCAAATCATTTTTTTTTAAATTAATGAACCAATCTTGTGAAGCAGAGAATGGTTCATCCATTTTTAGTTCTTTTTAAAACCATAAAGCTGTTTACTTTACCATGGTTCCAGAAGTGGGAAGTCTTGCTCATTTTTTTTTTTTTAAATCACTTGTTAGCAGCTTTATTGAGCTCAACCAATCTTGAGGTTTTCCATGTTTAATGGGAAGAACAAGAAGGATTTTGTTCTGCAAAAAAAAAAAATCATGAATTCAATGTTTTCTTATTTTTTAACAAATCTCAGACAGTTTGTTCCTTAAATTTTTTTGACACTCATCTCTATCAGCAACACAATTAATAATTTCAATTTTTTTCTCTAGATATGAAACATATTCCATCTTTCTGACAATTTTTATGGGAACTGTCAAACAACACTGAAGTATGATTTTAAGACATAAAACAAGATGAAAGTTTTCATAAAATTTAAAAATTAGGATGATTCTTTTTTAAGTCTAAAATTCCAGAAGTTCTTAATTATTCTCCGAAATGATTTATATTAATTTATTTTTTTATACTACAGGTATATTTTAATCTTATAATAATATTCACATATGTCGCTGGAAATCAAATAAAGCATATAAATAATAAACTTTAATGCATATATGCAAATAATAATTATAAAAAGAGTAGGGTAATCTCTGGTTTATTAAGTACCCTGATAATTGAGATTTTACTGTATACCTATACCCTGTGCCATAATTATATTAATATGTATGTGACTGAATGATTAATATTTTATGTACAGGAACGCAAAAAAAGGAATTTTGCCAAAAGTTTGTTAAAGGAATCTCTAAGTCCTACTACATCTAATTCGACAAAACCATGTAAGTATTTTTAATTGTATATTGATTTGTTATGACTGATTTTTACTAACAAGGTGAGGTTGGAGGTTATGGATGTGGAGTCAGCAATTTAAATGGAACCTTTTTTGGTGATATTAGGTTTGGAAAATATTAATCTCTTTCCTGAGGGTTCTTGCCAATGCACTCTGAGCTGAAAAAAAAATTATCTTTTAATATTACATTATAACATAATTTTCTGTCTTTGCTCTGCATGGATATCTAGGTTATAATAAATTAGTTGGTTTGTTTTTGTTATTTTATATAAAATAACAAAAACATATTGCTGATTGTATTAAACAAATTTAAATTATAATAACTAATCCATCTAAGAGGCGTTCTTCCTCTACGTCTGGAACTATGAATGGCCTCACTCATTATTTTTCTGGGGATCTCATCCTCTGACATTTGTGCTACATGGCCAGCCCACCTCAATCTTCCCAGCCTTATATGCTTCATCATGTCAGGTTCACTAAGGAGGTTGTATATTTCTTGATTACCCCATCTGAGGTATGTTTGACCGACTCTTTTAGGTCCATAAATGCAGCACAGAATTCTTCTCTCAAAAGTCAATAAACTCATCTATCCGTGATATTACCCATGACTCCGAGCCATATGTAAGGACTGGCCTGATCAGCCTCTTATACAGCCGTAATTTTGTTGTCCTTGAGAGATACTTGCTCCTTTAATGTCTTCCTAGCCCAAAGTAACATTGCTTAGCAATAACTTTTCTCCTCTCAATTTCCTTTGTGTTGTCATTTCCCACAGTCATCAGGGATTTCAGGTAGACGAACTCATTCACTTTTTCAAATATATAGGAGCCAAACTGCACATTATCTGCCAAGATAACAAACTTGGAGGTCATATACTTGTCATACACATAGGCAGATACCTGCACACAGTACCCAGTCGATCCTAACACGCTAAATTCTTTTTTCACTAACCATTTCCCATCCACATCTCCATCTGACCGCTCATCTACCGAAACCCCCTTCGATCCTGATAAGTTTTATTTTCTCGATATCTCTCCTACTGACCTTATCTCTGCCACCCTTAAATCCAAAATGAATGATTATGGTTCTGACCAAATACCTGTTAAAGTTATCAAACTCTGCCTTCCAGCCTTACTACCCGCACTTCTACACATATGTAATTTCTCTCTCCAAAATTCCATTTTTCCCAAATCCTGGAAAAGAGCCATAGTCCGTCCACTGAACAAAGTTCTAATTCCTTTATCAGCTTTCAACTTCAGACCCATCTCCAATCTATCCAAGGTGCTAGAAAGATTAGTTCACTCTCAGTTGAGCAGCTTTCTCGAGCAAAACCATCTCCTCAATCCTTTACAATCTGGTTTCCGTTCCAAATATTCCACCCAGTCTGCCTTGCTAAGGATTACCCAAGACCTCCAATCCGCCATAAATAAACAGAAAATCTCCCTCCTAATTCTTTTTGACTTTTCCAAAGCGTTTGATTCCGTTAATCATGAGATCCTTCTTTCCAAACTCCAAAGCCTGCCCATATCAAATAGCATCCTAAAATACTTTCTCTCCTTCCTATTCAATCGATCTCAGACATTTACAATTCCGAACAAACCTCTATCATCACCCCTTCAATTAACACAAGGTGTTCCTCACTCTCCCCGACCCTTTTCTCTATCTGTATTAGTGACTTTCCTGATACCATTCAACACTCCAGTTACCACCTATATGCCCATGATTTCCATATATACCAATCATTCCAATCTTCTGAGATGCCTGAGGCTGCCTGAAGGCTACAAGAGGACATCGACTGCATCAACAGATGGGCAGAAATAAATGAATTAAAGCTGAATGCAGATAAAACCAAGGCTATTCTCAACGGGTCCAGACATCTCGTTAGCTCCCTTCCTTACTTTCCTCTACTTAACCTCAATAACCGTCCCATTCATTTTTTCTCTACAGTCAAAAACCTAGGAGTACCTTTGACCAGAACCTCTCATGGAATAACCATATCTCCCAGATTTACCACATCTATTGCACAATTGAAATAACAATTAACAGTAAATTAGGTTGTATTTTATTATTATATCTGACTAAGACCCATAAATTTGTAACTGTTATTATTCTTAGGGGACAGTAGTCCCAGAATAAAATTATTTTTTCATTCATTCATATGCTTGGTTTTCACATCATTTACACTTAGTCCCAGTTGTCCGACTGTTGTTTCTAGAGCAAGGAAGGCATCACGAACAGCAGCCTGGGATATACCGACGATATCTAATTCATCTGCGTAGACAGGATCTGAACCATTAAATACTTCATTTTATGGGAATATATATTTTTTTTTTTCATTTTCTCCTAATTCAAGGTTACTACAACCTTTAGAAAGCTGAGTTATTCTTCTTCCAAACTATATCAATAATTATTGAAAGAAGTTAGTCGACTGTTCTATATATCATGGATGATAGATAGTCAAGACACAGTCAGTTTTTAAGATTTTTTTCAGTTCCAGTACTTGAATGCCTTCAGTGCTTGTAACTGATGATAATTCACAAGCTTAGGTTGAAGCATTGGCAATAAAAATCTTAAAAACTGACTGTGTCCTGACCATCTGGTTGATTTCTCTGATGCCATTTTTAAACTGCGAAACTTTGACAGAAAGTTATTACTTATCGAGACTGAAAAGACCTTTTTCTACTAATACGTGTTATAGGCTCTTTCCCAAGATTATCTTTTATTATTAATTTTTTTATTTATGTATAAAGTGCAAAGGAAAATACAAAATTACAAACAAATAGAAAAGAATACCAACAAAAAAATGAAAACATCGAATTAAAAAATTATAAATTTTACATACAATTATAAAGATTAATAAAAATATATATTTAATATTTAGTTATACAATAAAAAATAATAGAACAATAATCAAAAACACACAAATAAAATAGAAATATTGAGTTTAAAATATCTATATATAAAAATTCAAAACTCAATTTCCGATATATTTTAAAACAATAGTTGATACATAGAGCTACCTTACAATCCGGATACCAACATGTAGATTCTTTCCTAACAACTTTTTTGTTGCAAACTTGCCATTTTTTGGATTTAGTTTATCTTTTATCGCTTTTCATTTGTTCTGGAAAATGCCTTTCAACTAAGCCTGATGCTTTAGGTGTACAGCTGCTTGTTGATCTATTAGGGTGGGTTTTCACTATGTTGTCTATCAATTTCTCTACACACTCAAAAAGTATAATCGATCCAAATGACCTTTATCTTTTTTGTATATAATATATTCATTGAAGCAGCAAATATCAATTAATCATGGAGTTCATTTGTCAGGAATCATAATTGGAGCGAAGCAGTCACTTAAAATTTATTTTAAAATGAAAAAAATTATGACCGATGTGGATAGCATGGAAGTTGAAGATTTGGAAATATGGAAGAATGGCAAGCACCTTTTTGCATACAATCCACCAAGAAATGACTTACATTGAACATGACAGTGACTTACATTGAAAATGATACATCTTTTCCCACTTTTCTATCTTATTTGGGCAATAGTTCTCATCCTGATTTAGTCTTTGTACACATTACCTTAAAACTGACTTCAAAAAAATGAACTTCTATCTGCACCAGAAGGATTTGGACTCAGTATTGTAGCAATCAAATTCACTTAGAAGCTTAAAGAAAAAGTTAAAAGCAATAAATTGATGTGGAACCTGAAGAAAGCTAATTGGGGTGCTTACTCCAAACTAACTGATGAGCTGCTCACTCCAGGACTCATAGCGGGGAACCCTGACTGCTCTCTTAACAAGATTACAAAGGTACTCTTCAAGTGTGCTGAAAAAGCAGTACCAAGAGGAAGAGTGAAGAGGTATGTCCCATTTTGGAATGAGAAGCTAGAAAAACTAAAAGTCGATCAAGATTAATGGCATAAAGCATAAGAGTGCATTATTGAAAAGAAATATAATAGATGCTAAAAGAACTTCATACAAGTCGTTCCTCCAAACTCTAGATTACGGAAAAGATGGAACAGCTGCGCATAAATTCCTATCCCGACTAAATAATGAAAAATAAGCATTCAATAATCCTATGAAACATGGAAATGAGCTTCCTACCACTGATCAACAAATAGATCATTTCAATAAACACTATACGAAGATTAGCAATTTCACAATCAACAGTAATAATAACACTCTTACTATTGAAATCCCTCAAACATGCTTAAATAAGGAAGAAACGGCCCTATTTAACAGTGAATTTAGTTTGAGAGAAATGGAAGTAGCACTAAATGGAATAAAACGTGGGAAGAGCGCTGGACCAGATAATTTACTTCGTGAATTCCTCACCCATCTTAGCAGCTCTGCGAAACATGTGGTAATTCGATTCCTAAACGAGGTATGGTCATCCTATGTGCCCTGTGAATGAAGAAAAGTCGACGTTATCCCCATCATTAAAAAAGGAAAACCTACTGATTGTGTGAAAAATTATAGCCTTGTAGCATTAACTAGTGTCTTTTGCAAGCTGCTTGAAAAGATGGCTCTGAAAAGATTACAAACTCACATAGAAAAGCATAGGCTCATTTCACACAAACAAGCAGGATTTAAACGAAATCGAAGCACCATAGAACATGTAATACAGCTATCACAGGACATTATAGATGGATATCAAAGTTCACTCGCAGTATTTGTAGACTTTCAAACTGCATTTGATAGAGTTTGGAGGAAGAAACTTCTCAAAAAGCTGTTAAAAAAAGGCGTACAAGGCAATTTGTTTAAATATATTGCATCTTTCTTAGGCCAAGGATTTACTCGTGTCAGCTATAGACAAGGAACATCCAAATACAGGCAGACAAAACAGAGCCTCTGGAAGGCTCAGTCCTTAGCCCAACTCTATTCTGCATAGTGATAGATGACCTCATACAGACTCTTGAGTCTATACCAGGAATCAAAGCACTTTTGTATGCTGACGACCTTGTACTCTGGGCAACGAGCAGTCATATAGAAGCATTAGAAATTTACTTAAATAAAGCACTTGATTGAGAAACTCTAAAAATGGGCTGATGAGAATGAGATGCGTGTTAATACTTTAAAATCCGAATTTCAGCTCTTCTCACTCTCGTCCAATGAACATCATATAACTTTAAAATATGCACAAGAACAACTAAAACAAACAAATTCAGTAACATACCTTGGAGTAGTACTAGACAACAGGTTGAGTTGGACAAAGCATACAGACCCTCTGCTAGAGAAAGGTGAATGAAAATTGTCTTGGCCTAATTAAGAGGATCACTGGTATGAAGTTGGGAGCAAACCAAGACGTTCTGACAATGCCATATAAAAGTTATGTGAGACCCGTTCTTGAATATGGAAGTGAGTTACTCATAACAGCACCAGATTCTAACATCGTAAAAAGTGAAAAAGTGCAAAACAAGGCCCTCTGAATTATTACTGGCACCCCAAAATCAACACCTATCGCAGATATGCAGCTTCAAACGTGTATAGAACCCTTATAGGTATGAAATGAGATCGCTGCGCTAACAATGACTGAGAAACTGATGCTTTTAGAAATTGACTACTGGGAAGAATGTAAACCTGCTACAAGGCTTAAAACCCAAGTCATGTTCATAAAGAAATTGCAGACAATTAGAGAAATTAAAGGACTTCATATTTCTTCAAGAGAAAATTTCATGACGATTCCACCAAGGGTCTCTACAAAGTCAGCACGAACCAATTGACAGCTTCTGCTAAAAGTCAATGAGCAAAGTTGCTCTAAGATAGAACTAAGGAATTTAGCACTAATAAAAATGTTAAAAAAGTTTTTTTTTATTACTTATATAGACATAAAATCTAATAGTTATTGTTATGGTTTGGAAGAATAATTATTCAACAGTTGTAGTAATGTCGAATAACAAGAAAATCCTCCCACAAAATTAAGTCTAAAACTTTATATTTTTTTTATTTCAAAACAAATTGGTATTTAATGGGTTTAAAGGATGATAAAAACAAATCCAAATCAATTTTCCTTAAAAAAAAACCTATTTGGCTTTATCTTAATCTTCGAAGAGAAGATTGGTTGGGTAAAAAGATAAGAAGATAGATAAAAAAAAATGTAAAAATAAATAAATATATTTATTTTTATTTTTGCCACCATTGCAGCCCAAAGTTCAGGCCTTCATCAGGGCTAAGAAAAAAAACAGATAACAACAGGTATGAGAAACTATTAACATTAAAAAGAAAAGCTAATATGTAGGTGAAAGGTATAGTCTGAAAAATGTAGGTAGAATAAACTTATTCTACCTTCATTTTTTAAACTGTACCTTTCACCTACGTACTAGTTTTTCTTTTTAATGTTAATATTTTTTCATACCTGTTGTTATATGGTTTTTTATAAGGCCTGAACTTTGGGCCGAAACATCGGCAAAAACAAAAATACTTATTTATTTTTACTTTTTTTTTTTTTTTTCTTTTTTTTTTTTACTGATCATCCTTACCAATCTTCTCTTCAATTATTCACTACAGTCAACCACCAATCCACAATTTACTGGAATCTGTTGGTTTTTATGATTGGATATACATTTAATTTGTTTAATATAATCAGCAATGTGGTTTTCTTATTTTACACAAAAAACAAAACATTTGATTTATTATAATCCAGAAGTCCATGCAGAGTAAAGGTAGTAAACAATACTATAATATAATATTAAAAAATTATAAAACATTTATTCTCGACTCATAGGTTGCTTTGGCAAGAACCCTTGGTCATAGATTTAATATTTTTCGATCTAGTATTACCATAATAGAACAGGTTTAATCGAAATTGGTGACCCCCACCTCCATAACCTCCCCTTGTAAGTGTAATAATTAATTAATGATGATTAATCCTTATTTTTTCCAGCTGCTAAAGGACGTAGACAATCTACAGTTAAACAGAGGCTGAGTAAGATCTTGAAGTTAAATAAAAACCATCGTTAAATTGAAGTATTCTGCTTCTGATGGGTATCCATTACATCTTGATTTGAAACTTAATCTTTCTAACTACAGGAAATAAATACTGAATAACCTTCAGAACATTAACTAGATATATATTTTTTTAAATAAGCCTTTGTGAACTTTGTTTCGATATCCATGAAGAATGGATCTCCATAGATGTCAACAACATTGTAAGGTTTAAGCAGATCAATCTTTTCTTCAATACTGATTTACAAAAAAAAATTTTGTTAAGATACACTGATCTTATTTATCATCCTGTATATTTTATTGCCCATATTGATGTTGTAAATTAGTTATTTAATTGCTAAACAACTAAACTTTTATTTTTTAAGTTTTAGTGTGTGATTTTTTTAATTTCTAGTATGTGAATTGTTTTATGTATTTTCACTAGATTTGATATTAGTAAATGTTCCTAAATATATTTTTTATTCTAAATTTCATAATATTTTTGTATTAATGCCTTTCTATTTTAAGAAATGTATTGTTTGTCTTTGTTTGATTGTTTTCTTTAAATATTTTACTTAGCTAAGTATTAGATCTTTAATCTTGGCTATTTTAACTGCTCAATGTGTTTTAAATTACAACATTCCTGAAAATTATTATGTTTGGCTGTGCTTTGTTAATTTAGCCTTGTATTTTTAGTTATATATAATTATTTTAGTTTGTTCCTCATTATTGTTTTTTATTTTAAAAATTTTATTTAAAAACAATTTTGTTATAAAAGTTTGATTTTATGTTAATGATTATTCAGTTAGTGTTATGTTATTAATAGTTACGTGTGATCTCATGGAAACCGAAGACAAGAAAAAATGTGATATTAAAAATGTATTACTTAAGACTTAAGTAAGAAAAATAAATGAATATTTTTATATTTTTTTTTAAAACTTTAATTTCTTCCCCTGTTTATTTTTCCAACTACAGCTTGGTCCTGATTGTTTTCATGATGTGTGTGTCTTTTACAGAGAAGTAAATTTTAGTATTGCTTTAAATCATTATATAATCTTGTGCTGTGAATATATTTATGTTTCTTTTTCATGAAACTGATCATATCATCTTTGATTTCTTCGTTTATATATAAAACAAGTTGTACAAATTGTATTATTTTTATGAAGTTATCCATTATTAAGCTTAGTTAAGGAAATGATGGTCCAAGGTTATATATATATAAATCAATTTTTTTTATTTATGTTCTTACATTTCAGTTTGTGGTTACATTGGGTTAGATCAGATCAGAACGATTACGTCTGTGTTCATTCATTTGTAAATTTTTAGCATCCATTTACTTATATAGATTGTTTTTTCATGTTTTCTAATCACTCTTTATTAATTATGATATTATTTATTTGATACATAATCCAAAAGTAATTTGAAATACAGTAGAAAATGACAATAATAGCTATTTACTTTTTACTGTTAGCAACTAATAATGATTATTGCATTTTAAATCTAATATGGAATACACTTTCATCATTATAAGAAAATATGTAGTGACTTTTAATGATCAATAGTATGCAAAAATCGAACATTAAAATATTATAAAACTTTGTTAATTTTATTTATTAAATATTTCAAAGAAAATAATAATAAATCTCAGGTCTTCCTTATTGATATGTTAGAATGACGCTTTGAGCCATCTAGCTCATAGTCACCTTTACTCTACAGTATAATTAAATATTATTTTGGTTCTGCTTATCATTTAATGTTATATGTAATTGTAAGACGGGTGCCAGGAAAATAATAAATAATTACTGAGCTTTTACGAGTATATTATGTTCAACAATATACTTATTATGTTCAACATGCATGGAACTATATAAGCTAACTTACTAACTACACTAATATAATAACATTACATAACAATAAATATAGTAGAACTCACTAATAAAACAATCTATCAAAATAATGTGCATATATATAAATACTAAAATAACAATAATAACATATGCATGCTAGCTAGATAAATTTCTATATAATGCTACTTAATAGTTAGCTCGAGAAATAAATATGACAAACATTATCACAAGCAATAAATAGTTTTACTCTCAACAAGACGTCAGCCTCCAGAAGGTATCCTATTCTCTTTGGCGCCCTAGCAAGATATCCCCACTGAAAAGAAACAACTATATAATTTCTCTATGTCAATCAATTCATAAGGTCGATAGGAAATCGATATTGATAATGACCCCTAATTACTGTACTACACAAGGTAGTTCAGTTTGCATGTGAAATGTATCAGTAAATGTGTTACCTGCTCGTGGGGATTTATCCTAACAAAGGTGTATTCTTCTATAGGCTTCTTTATCACAGAATGCAGTGCTAACATGGCAGACATTCACTTGTGCTAAATCTCACCATTTTCCGAACCTTCCTACGGTTTTCTCAACTCAGTGTTGCCACCGGTCATAGTTCGCAGGTCCAATCCTCCAATATAGGCCCCCCCTCACAGTAATTATAACTTTTAATTCATATTTAATTAATTAAAAATCTTATTTATAAACATTACCCACCAAAACCAAAATATTACCCTTCTTCTTCTTTAGCTTTCCTCTTTAGTGCCTTTCAGTGTAGTGGAGCATTCAGCCAGGAATTCCATTCTTCCCTATTTCTAGCTAGCTTCCTCGCCTGTCGAAGGTACTTGTCCCTCGCCCTACAGAGTCGCTCAATGTAGTCAAGAAAGGACATCCTAGGGCGACCCCTAGGTCTTCTGCCATCTGGGACATATTCCATGGTCTTTTGAGGATCTCTGTGGTCGTCCATCCTGATAACATGGCCGAACCACTTTAGCTGACAATTTTCTAGGAGCTCTTTCAGTGGGGCTATCTGCTGTTCCTGACAAATACTTTCATTGTGAACTCGGTCTCTCCTTGTTTTCCCAACCGTCCTTCGCAGAAATTTCATTTCGGCAGCGGTGATACTACTCTCCTGTCGGTCTGTTAGTATCCAGCTCTCAGCTCCATACAAAAGTATTGGTAGATAAACCGTTTTGAAGATGTGTAGCTTGACGTCTGCCTACTTCTCTCTTCCCTAATACAGTGTTACATATCTGGTAGTAAACTGTAATTGCCTTATTAATCCTGTTTGATATTTCCACGTCTATCTTCCCAGATCCGTCTAACACTGTACCCAGGTATGTGAAGTCTGTCACCAATTCTAATTCTTCTCCATTACAATATATGTGGATATCTTCCTTCTTTCTTCCGACTTGTAGGATCTTACTTTTGTTGGTATTTATAAGCATCCCTTTTCGTTGGAGTTCTTCATACCATTCTATAACTGCCAATTGCAACTTTTCCACTGAGTACGTAATCAATACCACGTCGTCGGCGTAGAGGAGAAGTTGTATCACTACAGGATTAAGATTCCTACGTCCCAAGAATGTCCTGTCTGTTCTTCTCTTACAGATGGATGCCACTTTATCCATGAATAACAAGAACAACAATGGGCTTAAGCTATCTCCTTGTTTCACCCCCTTTGCAATATTGAAACAACCCGATTCTAGCCCTTTCAGCCTGACTATTCCTTTGGGCTCTTGATATATAGATTTTATCTCCTCTGTCAGATTTCTAGGAACATTCTTCGATCTGAGAGCTTCCCATATTTCATCTCATGGAACTGAGTCAAAGGCAGATTTGAGGTCAAGGAAAGCCAGGTACATATTTTTATTAAGGTCCCAGGATTTATGTAGGATATTTCTTAGTGAGAAAATATGGTCATGGGTTTGGCCCCCTGGGTCTGAACCCAGCTTGCTCTTCTCCTATTAGGTGCTCAACTAGTGGTCTTAAGCGACCCACCAATATGGATGTATATAGTTTGGATGCAACTGGTGAGAGGCTTATGGGTCTGTAGTTAGAGCATTCTGCCTGACATCCTTTCTTGTGAATTGGTATTATAATATATTCCCAATCCGTTGAAATCCTTTTTTCGTCCCAGGCTTTCTGGAAAAGGACTTGCAATGCTCGCACCAGCTCAGGGCCGCCATTCTTTATTAATTCAGCTACTACACCATCCCGACCTGGCACTTTTCCAGTTTTCATTTTGTTTATGGCTCTCTCTACTTCTTCTTCCTCAATCACCTCGTTGTACTCTTCCTCACTCCAGTTTCCATTTCCGTTTGTTGAACAGTGATCATCACTACCAAACTGCTTCATGTAATGATGTCTCCAGACCTCTAAGGTTGCTCTTTCTTCCATGACCACTTTTCCTTCTTCACTCTTCATGTTTCTCACTGCTTTGCTCTTATGTCCTCTTAGAGCTTTAATTTTTTTCCAGAAAATCCTGATGTTTTCCCAATGATCTTGATCTAACTTTCTTCCAAATTCTTCCCACGGTTTTTGTTTTGCCACTCTTACTGCTTGCCATTTCTCTGGAGTTTTGTCCCGACAGTATCCCTTCCACGCTGTTTTCTTTTGCAAGACTTGCACTTTCAGTTATTCGTTCCACCATAATGTATGTTTACCTTTCTTGCAAATCTTTTTCACTCCACACTCTATAGTAGCTGCTTTCAGAATGCTATCCTTTTTTTTTTTTCACGGAACGGCCATAGAGACCACGCGAATATCATGGCATTTGGCTTCTTTCTTGTTTTTCCTTTCTTTCCAGTTCTCTCTCATTATCTCCGCGTGCCGCCGCTTTCTCTCCTCCGTCCACGTGACTCCCTTTCTCGAACTTTTCTTCTTAACAAGAACCGTGATCTCCTTTAGTCTCTTACCATACCCCTCTCTGTCCGCGTGCCGCCGCTTTCTCTCCTCCGTCCACGTGACTCCCTTTCTCGAACTTTTCTTCTTAACAAGAACCGTGATCTCCTTTAGTCTCTTACCATACCCCTCTCTGTCCAGACAGTCCTGGTCCGTTATTCCAAGTCTTTCCGTTTCTTCTTTCATCTGCCTGATGTATCCTCCCAAGCTTTTGTATCTACGGATTTTTTGAAATATTCCCTTGTTATGTCTTTCTGGGGCCATTCTTACCATATGTCCGTGGAATTTCAGTCTCCTGATCCTTATTTCCGTTTTTAGATCTCTTGTGCCCTTGTATATTTTTTTATTGGATCTTAGCCTATATCCTTCTTTTGTCTTTTTGGGGCCGTAAATCCTTCTTAGAATTCTTCGCTCTATTCTCAACAATTTTTCCAGACTGGGGAGGCATGTGGTTTCCGTCCCGTATAGTATCACAGGTTTCTCTTGTTGTATATGTTACTGGTTGCAAAAGTTAGTTTTTCCAATTTAGCTATTCTTTCCTTGATACTTTCTTTTTCCGAATCATTATTACATATAGTCTCACCCAGGTACTTAAATTTATTTGTTACATTTCTTATTGACCCGTATTTGGTTTCCACTATTTTCTTCTTGAAGTCTGCGGCTGTGGTCATTAATTTTGTTTTTTCGTAGGAGATTTGGAGACCCGCTTTTTTGGCTATTTCCGTCACTGTATTTATTTGGTCGATTGCCTCTTCTTCCGTTTC